AGAGCCATAGGGAGCTGTGGGGCAGAGCAATAGGGGGTTATGGGGGGCTATGGGGCAGAGCCATAAGTGTGGGGCAGAGCCATAGGGAGCTGTGGGGCAGGGCAGTAGGGGGTTATGGGGTGGTCCCATAGGGAGCTATGGGGCAGACCCATAAGTGTGGGGCAGAGCCATAGGGAGCTGTGGGGCAGGGCAATAGGGGGTTATGGGGTGGTCCCATAGGGAGCTATGGGGCAGACCCATAAGTGTGGGGCAGAGCCATAGGGAGCTGTGGGGCAGGGCAATAGGGGGTTATGGGGTGGTCCCATAGGGAGCTATGGGGCGAGACCCATAAGTGTGGGGCAGAGCAATAGGGGGTTATGGGGGGCTATGGGGCGAGACCCATAAGTGTGGGGCAGAGCCATAGGGAGATATGGGGCGGGACCCATAAGTGGGGGGCAGAGCCATAGGGAGCTGTGGGGCGGGACCCATAAGTGGGGGGCAGAGCAATAGGGAGATATGGGGCGACACCCATAAGTGGGGGGCAGAACCATAGGGAGCTGTGGGGCGGGACCCATAAGTGTGATGCAGAGCCATAGGGAGCTATGGGGCAGACCCATAAGTGTGGGGCAGAGCCGTAAGTGTAGGGCAGAGCCATAGAGAGCTATGGGGCAGAGCCATAAGTGTGGGGCAGAGCTATAGGAGCTATGGGGCAGAGCCAGAAGTGTGGGGCAGAGCCATAGGGAGCTATGGGGCGAGACCCAGAAGTGGGGGGCAGAACCATAGGGAGCTGTGGGGCGAGACTCATAAGTGTGGGGCAGATCCACAGGGAGCTATGGGGCAGAGCCATAGGGGGGTTATGGGGTGGTCCCATAGGGATCTATGGGGCAGAGGCATAAGTGTGGGGCAGATACATCTGGGGTTATGGGGTGGTCCCATAGGGTGCTGTGGGGCAGTTTCATAGGGATCTGTGAGGCGGCCCCATAAGTGTGGGTCAGCCCCACAGGGATCTATGGGGCTGACCCCCCCCCCCCCCCTTTGTGCCCCACATGCAGCCCTCGGTGCGGCTGACCCCCACCACGTTGCTGTACTCGGGGCGCTCACAGGATGGAGCCACATCATGGTAAGTGGGGCTCGCTATGGGGCACGCTATGGGGCACGCTATGGGGTTCGCTATGGGGTTCGCTATGGGGCACGCTATGGGGCACGCTATGGGGCTCGCTATGGGGCACGCTATGGGGCTCGCTATGGGGCTCGCTATGGGGCACGCTATGGGGCTCGCTATGGGGCACGCTATGGGGCTCGCTATGGGGCTCGCTATGGGGCACGCTATGGGGCTCGCTATGGGGCACGCTATGGGGCTCGCTATGGGGCTCGCTATGGGGCACGCTATGGGGCTCGCTATGGGGCACGCTATGGGGCTCGCTATGGGGCTCGCTATGGGGCTCGCTATGGGGGCACGCTATGGGGCTCGCTATGGGGCACGCTATGGGGCTCGCTATGGGGCTCGCTATGGGGCTCGCTATGGGGCACGCTATGGGGCTCGCTATGGGGCTCGCTATGGGGTTCGCTATGGGGCTCGCTATGGAGTTCGCTATGGGGCTTGCTATGGGGCTCGCTATGGGGCTCGCTATGGGGTTCGCTATGGGGCTTGCTATGGGGCTCGCTATCGGCTCGCTATGGGGTTCGCTATGGGGGCACCGCTATGGGGCACGCTATGGGGCTCGCTATGGGGCTCGCTATGGGGCACGCTATGGGGCTCGCTATGGGGCTCGCTATGGGGCCCGCTATGGGGCTCGCTATAGGGCACGCTATGGGGCTCGCTATGGGGCTCGCTATGGGGCACGCTATGGGGCTCGCTATGGGGCACGCTATGGGGCTCGCTATGGAGTTTGCTATGGGGCTCGCTATGGGGCTCGCTATGGGGCTCGCTATGGGGTTTGCTATGGGGCTCGCTATGGGGTTTGCTATGGGGCTCGCTATGGGGTTCGCTATGGGGCTCGCTATGGAGTTCGCTATGGGGCTCGCTGTGGGGTTAGCTATGGGGCTCTCTATGGGGCCCGCTATGGGGCCCGCTATGGGGTTCGCTATGGGGCTCGCTATGGGGTTTGCTATGGGGCTCACTATGGGGTTCGATATGGGGCTCGCTATGGGGTTCGCTATGGGGCTCGCTGTGGGGTTCGCTATGGGGCCTGCTATGGGGCCCGCTATGGGGTTCACTATGGGGCACGCTATGGGGCTCGCTATGGGGCTCTCTATGGGGCACGCTATGGGGCACGCTATGGGGTTCGCTATGGGGTTCGCTATGGGGCTCGCTATGGGGCACGCTATGGGGCTCGCTATGGGGCTCGCTATGGGGTTCGCTATGGGGCTCGCTATGGGATTCACTATGGGGTTCACTATGGGGCTCGCTATGGGGCTCGCTATGGGTTTGCTATGGGGCTCGCTATGGGGTTCGCTATGGGGCTCGCTATGGAGTTCGCTATGGGGCTCGCTGTGGGGTTAGCTATGGGGCTCTCTATGGGGCCCGCTATGGGGCCCGCTATGGGGCTCGCTATGGGGCTTGCTATGGGGCTCACTATGTCTTTCTCTATGGGGCTCGCTATGGGCCTCGCTATGGGGTCCAGTAGGTTGGGGGCGGCATGGATCCCCATCCCATTACCCCATTATCCCGTTCATCCCCATTGCCCCCCATCGCCCCATTGCCCCCCATTGCCCCCCATTGAGCCCCATTGTGCCCCATGCCCCCCATTGCCCCCCATTGTCCCCCATTGTCCCCCATTGCCCCCATTGCTCCCCATTGAGCCCCATTGAGCCCCATTGAGCCCCATTGACCCCCATTGCCCCCCATTGACCCCCATTGCCCCCCATTGTGCCCCATTGCCCCCCATTGCCCCCCATTGAGCCCCATTGAGCCCCATTGAGCCCCATTGCCCCCCATTGACCCCCATTGAGCCCCATTGAGCCCCATTGAGCCCCATTGAGCCCCATTGAGCCCCATTGGCCCCCATTGCCCCCCATTGAGCCCCATTGCCCCCCATTGCCTCCCATTGAGCCCCATTGAGCCCCATTGAGCCCCATTGCCCCCCATTGAGCCCCATTGAGCCCCATTGAGCCCCATTGAGCCCCATTGAGCCCCATTGCCCCCCATTGACCCCCATTGAGCCCCATTGAGCCCCATTGAGCCCCATTGAGCCCCATTGACCCCCATTGAGCCCCATTGAGCCCCATTGAGCCCCATTGAGCCCCATTGGCCCCCATTGCCCCCCATTGAGCCCCATTGCCCCCCATTGCCCCCCATTGAGCCCCATTGTCCCCCATTGCCCCCCATTGCCCCCCATTGACCCCATTGACCCCCATTGCCCCCCATTGCCCCCCATTGAGCCCCATTGCCCCCCATTGCGCCCCCATTGAGCCCCATTGAGCCCCATTGAGCCCCATTGAGCCCCATTGACCCCCATTGAGCCCCATTGTGCCCCATTGCAGCAGAGCGCCCGGTACCTGCAGCAGGAGCTCCCCATCCGCATCGCCCATCGCATCCGGGCCTTCCCGGGGCCTGCCCTTCGGTGTGGGGTGCAACCCCACATTGCTGCACGTGGTAACACGGGGTGACACGGGATAACATGGGATAACATGGGGTGACATGGGATAACATGGGATAACATGGGATAACACGGGGTGACACGGGATAACATGGGATAACATGGGATAACACGGGTGACACGGGATAACATGGGATAACATGGGATATAACATGGGGTGACATGGGATATAACATGGGATAACATGGGATATAACATGGGGTGACATGGGATATAACATGGGTGACATGGGATATAACATGGGGTGACATGGGATATAACATGGGATAACATGGGATATAACATGGGATAACATGGGATAACATGGGATATAACATGGGATAACATGGGATATAACATGGGATAACATGGGGTGACATGGGATAACATGGGATATAACATGGGATAACGTGGGATATAACATGGGATAACATGGGATATAACATGGGATAACATGGGGTGACATGGGATAACATGGGATATAACATGGGATATAACATGGGATATAACATGGGATAACATGGGGTGACACGGGATAACATGGGATAACATGGGATAACATGGGATATAACATGGGATAACATGGGGTGACATGGGATAACATGGGATAACATGGGGTAACATGGGATAACACGGGATAACATGGGGTAACATGGGGTAACACGGGATAACATGGGGTAACATGGGGTAACATGGGGTAACATGGGATAACATGGGATAACATGGGATAACATGGGGTAACATGGGATAACATGGGGTAACATGGGATGACGTGGGATAACATGGGGTAACATGGGATGTAACGTGATAACATGGGGTGACATGGGATAACACGGGATAACATGGGATAACATGGGATGTAACATGGGGTGACATGGGATAAGATGGGATAACATGGGGTAACATGGGATAACATGGATAACATGGGGTGACATGGGATAACGTGGGATAACATGGGATAACATGGGGTGACATGGGATAACGTGGGATAACATGGGATATAACGGGATAACATGGGGTAACATGGGATAACATGGGATAACGTGGGATAACATGGGGTGACATGGGATAACATGGGATAACATGGGATATAACATGGGATAACATGGGGTAACATGGGGTGACATGGGGTGACATGGGGTGACATGGGGTAACATGGGATAACATGGGGATATAACATGGGATATAACATGGGATAACATGGGATAACATGGGGTGACATGGGGTAACATGGGATATAACATGGGATAACATGGGGTAACATGGGATGTAACGTGATAACATGGGGTGACATGGGATAACACGGGATAACATGGGATAACATGGGGTAACATGGGATATAACATGGGATAACATGGGGTAACATGGGATGTAACGTGATAACATGGGGTGACATGGATAACACGGGATAACATGGGATAACATGGGGTAACATGGGATAACATGGGATATAAGGTATTATGGGATGTGTGATATGGGGCAGGGGATCTTATGGGATGTCATGGGATACAATGGGGTTTTACGGGATGTTATGGGGTATTATGGGATACAATGGGGTGTTATGGGGTGTTATGGGGTGTTATGGGGTATTATGGGATACAATGGGGTATTATGGGGTGTAATGGGGTGTTATGGGGTATTATGGGATACAATGGGATGTAATGGGGTGTTATGGGGTGTTATGGGCTATTATGGGATACAATGGGTGTAATGGGGTGTTATGGGCTATTATGGGATACAATGGGTGTAATGGGGTGTTATGGGGTGCTGTGGGCTATTATGGGATACAATGGGGTGTAATGGGGTGTTATGGGATACAATGGGGTGTAATGGGGTGTAATGGGGTGTAATGGGCTATTATGGGATACAATGGGCTATTATGGGGTGTAATGGGGTGTTATGGGGTATTATGGGATACAATGGGGTATTATGGGGTGTTATGGGCTATTATGGGATACAATGGGGTATTATGGGGTGTAATGGGGTGTTATGGGGTATTATGGGATACAATGGGGTATTATGGGGTGTAATGGGGTGTTATGGGCTATTATGGGATACAATGGGGTGTTATGGGGTGTTATGGGGTGCTGTGGGCTATTATGGGATACAATGGGGTGTTATGGGGTGTTATGGGGTGCTGTGGGCTATTATGGGATACAATGGGGTATTATGGGGTGTAATGGGGTGTAATGGGGTGTTATGGGATACAATGGGGTGTAATGGGGTGTTATGGGGTGTTATGGGCTATTATGGGATACAATGGGGTGTTATGGGCTATTATGGGATACAATGGGGTATTATGGGGTGTAATGGGGTGTTATGGGGTATTATGGGATACAATGGGGGTGTAATGGGGTGTTATGGGGTGTTATGGGCTATTATGGGATACAATGGGGTGTTATGGGCTATTATGGGATACAATGGGGTATTATGGGGTGTAATGGGGTGTTATGGGCTATTATGGGATACAATGGGGTATTATGGGGTGTAATGGGGTGTAATGGGGGTGTTATGGGATACAATGGGGTGTAATGGGGTGTTATGGGGTGTTATGGGCTATTATGGGATACAATGGGGTGTAATGGGGTGTTATGGGGTGTTATGGGCTATTATGGGATACAATGGGGTATTATGGGGTGTTATGGGGTGTTATGGGGCTATTATGGGATACAATGGGGTATTATGGGGTGTAATGGGGTGTAATGGGGGTGTTATGGGATACAATGGGGTGTAATGGGGTGTTATGGGGTGTTATGGGCTATTATGGGATACAATGGGGTATTATGGGGTGTAATGGGGTGTTATGGGCTATTATGGGATACAATGGGGTGTAATGGGGTGTTATGGGGTGTTATGGGCTATTATGGGATACAATGGGGTATTATGGGGTGTTATGGGGTGTTATGGGCTATTATGGGATACAATGGGGTATTATGGGGTGTAATGGGGTGTTATGGGCTATTATGGGATACAATGGGGTATTATGGGGTGTAATGGGGTGTAATGGGGGTGTTATGGGATACAATGGGGTGTAATGGGGTGTTATGGGATACATGGGGTGTAATGGTGTGTTATGGGGTGGTAATGGGGTGTTATGGGGTGCTGTGGGCTATTATGGGGATGCGCAGCTCAGGGCCGCGTTCCCCATCCCCCCCCAGCACGAGCTCTACATCCCGCCTTCCACATGCTCAGCGACTTCCCCCCCGGTGGAGTGCGAGCGGGCCCCCATCCCCCCACATCCCCCCCACACATCCTCCCCACACTCCCCCCCATCCCCCCACATCCCCCCCCCACACATCCCCCCATCCCCCATCCCCATCCCCCATCCCCCCATCCCCCATCCCCCATCCCCCATCCCCCATCCCCCCATCCCCCATCCCCCATCCCCCCCATTCCCCCTTCCCCCATCTCCCCCACACCCCCCCCACAACCCATCCCCATCCCCCCCACCCCCCTCATCCCCCCAGCCCCCCATCCCCCATTCCCCCCCATATCCCCCCTTCCCCCCACACCCCCCACTCACCCCAACCCCCATCCCCCCATTTCCCCCTATAGCCCCCACACCCCCTATCCTCCCCATACCCCCCACCCCCCATCCCCCCATTCACCCCACACCCCCATCCCCCCATCCCCCATATCCCCCCTATATCCCCCCACACCCCCACCACCCATCCCCCCATATCCCCCTCATATCCCCCCCTTCCCCCCACATACACCCCCCATCCCCCCATTCCCCCCTATATCCCCCACACCCCCCACACCCCCCCATTCACCCCACACCCCCTTCCCCCATTGCCCCCCATTTCCCCCTATATCCACCCCACCCCCCCATTCCCCCCCATATCCCCCATCCCCCCACACCCCCCATCCCCCCATTCACCCCCATCCCCCCATATCCCCCCACATCCCCCATCCCCCCACCCCCCATCCCCCCATATCCCCCCCCATTCCCCCCCATATCCCCCCCATATCCCCCCCATATCCCCCCCCATTCCCCCCCATATCCCCCCACCCCCATCGCCCCCCAACTCCCCCTCCCCCCGCTCTGCCCCCCAGATCCAGGTCCCCACGGATGAGTCTCGCTTCTGCTCCCTCCTGCGCCAGCTCCTCGAGGACCACAAGGACGTCGTCACCCTCCCTGGCCGAGGGCCTGCGGGAGTGCAGGCGCCACATCCAGGTGCCGTGGGCAGCCCCATAGACACTGACCCATGGATACTGCCCCATGGATACTGACCCATAGATAGTGACCCATAGACAGTGACCCATAGATACTGCCCCATAGACAGTGACCCATAGACAGTGACCCATAGACACTGACCCATAGACAGTGACCCATAGACAGTGACCCATAGACACTGCCCCATGGATACTGCCCCATAGACAGTGACCCATAGACAGTGACCCATAGACAGTGACCCATAGACAGTGACCCATAGATACTGCCCCATAGACAGTGACCCATAGACACTGACCCCAGGATACTGCCCCATAGACACTGACCCATAGATAGTGACCCATAGACAGTGACCCATAGATACTGCCCCATGGATACTGCCCATAGATACTGCCCCATAGACACTGACCCATAGATACAGCCCCATAGACAGTGACCCATAGACAGTGACCCATAGATACAGCCCCATAGACAGTGACCCATAGACAGTGACCCATGGATACTGCCCCATGGATACTGCCCCATAGACAGTGACCCATAGATACAGCCCCATAGACAGTGACCAATAGACACTGCACCATAGACAGTGACCCATAGATACAGCCCCATAGACACTGCCCCATAGACAGTGACCCATAGATACAGCCCCATAGACAGTGACCCATAGATAGTGACCCATAGACAGTGACCCATAGTTACTACCCCATAGACGGTGACCCATAGATACTGCCCCATGGATACTACCCCATAGATGGTGACCCATAGACAGTGACCCATAGACGGTGACCCATAGACAGTGACCCATAGACGGTGACCCATAGACAGTGACCCATGGATACTGCCCCATAGACACTGACCCATAGACACTGACCCATAAACGGTGACCCATGGATACTGCCCCATAGACAGTGACCCATAGACAGTGACCCATAGACACTGACCCATAGACAGTGACCCATAGACACTGCCCCATAAACGGTGACCCATGGATACTGCCCCATAGACAGTGACCCATAGACATGACCCATAGACAGTGACCCATAGATACTGCCCCATGGATACTGCCCCATAGATACTGCCCCATAGACACTGACCCATAGATACAGCCCCATAGACAGTGACCCATAGACAGTGACCCATGGATACTGCCCCATAGACAGTGACCCATAGACCGTGACCCATGGATACTGCCCCATAGATGGTGACCCATAGACAGTGACCCATAGACACTGCCCCATAGACGGTGACCCATGGATACTGCCCCATAGACAGTGACCCATGGATACTGCCCCATAGACACTGACCCATAGATAGTGACCCATAGACAGTGACCCATAGATACTGCCCCATAGATACTGCCCCATAGACAGTGACCCATAGACAGTGACCCATGGATACTGCCCCATAGACAGTGACCCATAGACAGTGACCCGTGGATACTGCCCCATAGACAGTGACCCATAGACAGTGACCCATAGACAGTGACCCATGGATACTGCCCCATAGATACTGCCCCATAGACAGTGACCCATGGACAGTGACCCATAGACAGCGACCCATAGATACTGCCCCATAGACACTGACCCATAGACAGTGACCCATAGATACTGCCCCACAGACAGTGACCCATAGACGGTGACCCATGGATACTGACCCATAGACAGTGACCCATAGACAGTGACCCATGGATACTGCCCCATAGACAGTGACCCATAGACGGTGACCCATAGACAGCGACCCATAGATACTGCCCCATAGACAGTGACCCATAGACGGTGACCCATGGATACTGCCCCATGGATACTGCCCCATAGACAGTGACCCATGGATACTGACCCATAGATACTGACCCATAGACAGTGACCCATGGATACTGCCCCATAGACAGTGACCCATGGATACTGCCCCATGGATACTGCCCCATGGATACTGCCCCATAGACGGTGACCCATAGACAGTGACCCATGGATACTGCCCCATGGATACTGCCCCATAGATACTGCCCCATAGACGGTGACCCATAGACAGTGACCCATAGACGGTGACCCATAGACAGTGACCCATGGATACTGCCCCATGGATACTGCCCCATAGATGGTGACCCATGGATACTGCCCCATGGATACTGCCCCATGGATACTGCCCCATGGATACTGCCCCATAGACAGTGACCCATAGACAGTGACCCATGGATACTGCCCCATAGGCAGTGACCCATAGACAGTGACCCATAGACAGCGACCCAGAGACAGCGCCCCATAGATACAGCCCCATAGACAGTGACCCATAGATACAGCCCCATAGACACAGCCCCATAGACAGTGCCCCATAGACACCCACTACGGACACCGCCCCATAGACACCCCCTATACCCCCCCATAGACACCCCCTATACCCCCATAGCACCCCCCATAGACACCCCCTATAAGCCCTATAGACCCCCCCTATACCCCCTATAGCCCCCCCATAGACACCCCCTATAAGCCGTATAGACACCCCCCTATAGCCCCTATAGGCCCCCCCCATAGACACCCCCTATAGCCCCTATAGACACCCCCTATAGCCCCCCCATAGACACCCCCTATACCCCCTATAGCACCCCCCCATAGATACCCCCCTATAAGCCCTATAGACACCCCCATAGACACCCCCTGTAGCCCCCCCCATAGACACCCCCCTATACCCCCTATAGCCCCCCCATAGACACCCCCTATGCCCCTATAGCCCCCCCCATAGACACCCCCCTATACCCCCTATAGCCCCCCCATAGACACCCCCCTATAAGCCCTATAGACACCCCCCTATACCCCCTATAGCACCCCCCATAGACACCCCCTATACCCCCTATAGCCCCCTCCCCATAGACACCCCCTATAAGCCCTATAGACACCCCCTATACCCCCTATAGCCCCCCCATAGACACCCCCCTATAGCCCCTATAGCCCCCCCATAGACACCCCCTATAGCCCCCCCATAGACACCCCCTATAGCCCCCCCCATAGACACCCCCTATAAGCCCTATAGACACCCCCTATACCCCCTATAGCCCCCCCATAGACACCCCCCTATAGCCCCTTTAGCCCCCCATAGACACCCCCTATAGCCCCCCCCATAGACACCCCCTATAGCCCCTATAGACACCCCCTATAGCCCCCCCATAGACACCCCCTATAGCCCCCCCCATAGACACCCCCTATAGCACCCCCCATAGATACCCCCCTATAAGCCCTATAGACACCCCCATAGACACCCCCTATAGCCCCCCCATAGACACCCCCTATAAGCCCTATAGACACCCCCTATAGCCCCCCCCATAGACACCCCCTATAGCCCTATAGACACCCCCTATAGCCCCTATAGACACCCCCTATAGCCCCCCCCTGCCCTATAACCCCCCCGTTCCCTATAGGACGAGGGCCTCATCCGCCTCTTCCTGGACCAGACCCTCACGTCCCGCCTGGGCATGCGGATGCTGGCTGCCCATCACCTGGCTCTGCACGAGGACAAGGTTAGGGGGCGCCCCATAGCGCGCTATAGGGCGCTATGGGGCTCGTCGGGACCTATAGCGTCCATAGGGACCTATGGTGCCTGTAGATCCAGAGAGCGCCCATAGGGTCCTGTAGCGCTCATGGGGCTCTAGAACACCCATAGGGCGCTATGGGGCGCTATGGGGCTCATCAGGCCCTAGAGCGCCCATAGGCGCTATAGGGCGCTATGGGGCTCGTCGGACCTATAGCGCCCATAGGGACCTATGGTGCCTGTAGATCCAGAGAGCGCCCATAGGGTCCTGTAGCGCTCATGGGGCTCTAGAACACCCATAGGGCGCTATGGGGCGCTATGGGGCTCATCGGGCCCTAGAGCGCCCATAGGCGCTATAGGGCGCTATGGGGCTCGTCGGGACCTATAGCGCCCATAGGGACCTATAGTGCCTGTAGATCCAGAGAGCGCCCATAGGGTCCTGTAGAGCTCATGGGGCTCTATAACACCCATAGGGCGCTATGGGGCGCTATGGGGCTCGTCGGGACCTATAGGGACCTATAGTGCTTATAGATCAATAGAGCGCCCATAGGCTCCTATGGCGCTCATAGGGCTCTAGAACACCCATAGGGCGCTATGGGGCGCTATGGGGCTCATCGGGCCCTAGAGCGCCCATAGGGCTCTATAACACCCATAGGGCGCTATAGGGCGCTATGGGGCTCGTCAGGCCCTATAGCGCCCATAGGGACCTATAGTGCCTGTAGATCCAGAGAGCGCCCATAGGGTCCTGTAGAGCTCATGGGGCTCTAGAACACCCATAGGGCGCTATGGGGCGCTATGGGGCTCATCGGGCCCTAGAGCGCCCATAGGCGCTGTAGGGTGCTATGGGGCTCGTCAGGCCCCATAGCGCCCATAGGGACCTATAGCGCCTATAGATCCAGAGAGCACCCATAGGGTCCTGTAGAGCTCATGGGGCTCTAGAACACCCATAGGGCGCTATAGGGCGCTATGGGGCTCATCGGGCCCTATAGGGACCTATAGTGCCTATAGATCCCTATAGCGCCCATAGGCTCCTATAGCGCTCATGGGGCTCTATAACACCTATAGGGCGCTATGGGGCTCATCGGGCCCTAGAGCGCCCATAGGGCTCTATAACACCCATAGGGCGCTATAGGGCGCTATGGGGCTCATTGGGCCCGATAGCGTCCATAGGGACCTATAGCGCCTATAGATCCAGAGAGCGCCCATAGGGTCCTGTAGAGCTCATGGGGCTCTAGAACACCCATAGGGCGCTATAGGGCGCTATGGGGCTCATCGGGACCTATAGGGACCTATAGTGCTTATAGATCAATAGAGCGCCCATACGCTCCTATGGCGCTCATAGGGCTCTAGAACACCCATAGGGCGCTATGGGGCTCATCAGGCCCTAGAGCGCCCATAGGGCTCTATAACACCCATAGGGCGCTATAGGGCGCTATGGGGCTCATCGGGACCTATAGCGCCCATAGGGACCTATAGTGCCTGTAGATCCAGAGAGCGCCCATAGGGTCCTGTAGCGCTCATGGGGCTCTAGAACACCTATAGGGCGCTATAGGGCGCTATGGGGCTCATCAAGCCCTATAGCGTCCATAGGGACCTATGGTGCCTGTAGGTCCCTAGAGCACCCATAGGGTCCTGTAGCGCTCATAGGGCTCTAGAACACCTATAGGGCGCTATAGGGCGCTATAGGGCTCGTCAGGCCCTATAGCGCCCATAGGGACCTATGGTGCCTATAGATCCCTAGAGCACCCATAGGGTCCTGTAGCGCTCATAGGGCTCTAGAACACCCATAGGGCGCTATGGGGCGCTATGGGGCTCATCGGGCCCTAGAGCGCCCATAGGGCTCTATAACACCCATAGGGCGCTATAGGGCGCTATGGGGCTCATCGGGCCCTAGAGCGCCCATAGGGCTCTATAACACCCATAGGGCGCTATAGGGCGCTATGGGGCTCATCGGGCCCCATAGCGCCCATAGGGACCTATAGCGCCTATAGATCCAGAGAGCGCCCATAGGGACCTATAGCGCTCATAGGGCTCTATAACACCCATAGGGCGCTATAGGGCGCTATGGGGCTCATCGGGCCCTATAGCTCCCACAGGGTCCTATAGCGCTCATAGGGCTCTAGAACACCCATAGGGCGCTATAGGGCCCTCCTAGGGCCATGTAGCGCCCATAGCGCCCTATAGCACCCATGGGGCCCCATAGCACCTATAGGGCCCTATAGCGCTCACAGGGCCCTATAGCGCCCATAGGGCACTCCAGCGCTCATAGGGCCCTCCAGCGCTCATAGGGCCCTATAGTGCTCACAGGGCCCTATAGCACTCATAGGGTTCTATAGCGCCCATAGGGCCCCATAGCGCCTATAGATCCCTATAGCACCTATAGGGCCCTATAGCACTCATAGGGCCCCATAGCGCCCATAGGGCCCCATAGTGCCCACAGGGCCCTATAGCGCCTATAGGGCCCTGTAACACTCGTAGGGCACTATAGCGCCTATAGGGCCCCATAGCGCCTATAGGGCCCTGTAACACTTATAGGGCACTATAGACCCCATAGGGCTTTATAGTGCCTATAGAGCCCTATAGCGCCTATAGGGCCCCATAGCGCCTATAGGGCCCCATAGGGCCCTGTAACACTTATAGGGCACTATAGACCCCATAGGGCTCTATAGCGCCCCATAGCGCCCACAGGGCCCTATAGCACCCTATAGCACTCCTAGGGCACTATAGGACCCCTATGGCCCCTATAGCGCTCTATAGCAATCATTGGGTCCTATAGCACCCATAGGGCCCTATAGCGCCCTATAGCACCCTATAGCACCCTATAGGGCGCTTATAGGGTGCCCCCCACCCGCAGCCGGACTTCGTGGGCATCATCTGCACCCGCCTCTCGCCCAAGAAGCTCATTGAGAAGTGGGTCGACTTCGCACGGTGAGGCCCCATAGCGGCCCCATAGCACCCCATAGCACCCCATAGCGCCCCATAGCACCCCCATAGAGCCCCATAGCACCCCATAGAGCCCCCATAGCACCCCCATAGAGCCCCCATAGAGCTCCCATAGCACCCCCATAGCGCCCCATAGCACCCCCATATCACCCCCATAGCACCCCATAGAGCCCCCATAGCACCCCATAGCGCCCCATAGCGCCCCATGGCACCCCCATAGCACCCCATAGAGCCCCCATAGCACCCCATAGCGCCCTCATAGCACCCCATAGAGCCCCATAGCGCCCCATAGCACCCACATAGCACCCCAAGCACCCCCATAGCACCCCATAGAGCCTCATAGCGCCCCATAGCGCCCCATAGCACCCCCATATCACCCCCATAGCACCCCATAGAGCCCCCATAGCACCCCATAGCGCCCCATAGCGCCCCATAGCACCCCCATAGAGCCCCCATAGAGCCCCCATAGCACCCCCATAGCACCCTCATAGCGCCCCATAGCGCCCCATAGCACCCCCATAGAGCCCCCATAGAGCCCCCATAGCACCCCCATAGCGCCCCATAGCACCCCATAGCGCCCCATAGCACCCCCATAGAGCCCCCATAGAGCCCCCATAGCACCCCCATAGCACCCTCATAGCGCCCCATAGCACCCCATAGCGCCCCATAGCACCCCCATAGCGCCCTCATAGCGCCCCATAGAGCCCCCATAGAGCCCCCATAGCACCCTCATAGCGCCCCATAGCACCCCATAGCACCCCCATAGAGCCCCCATAGCACCCCCATAGCACCCCCATAGCGCCCCATAGCACCCCATGGCACCCCCATAGCACCCCATAGAGCCCCCATAGCACCCCATAGCGCCCTCATAGCACCCCATAGAGCCCCATAGCGCCCCATAGCACCCACATAGCACCCCAAGCACCCCCATAGCACCCCATAGAGCCTCATAGCCCCCCATAGCGCCCCATAGCACCCCCATATCACCCCCATAGCACCCCCATAGAGCCCCCATAGCGCCCCATGGCACCCCCATATCACCCCCATAGCACCTCCATAGCACCCCATAGCACCCCCAGAGCCGCCATAGTGCCCCATAGACCCCCATCGCTCCCCATAGTGCCCCCATAGCGTCCCGTAGCACCCCCATAGCACCCCATAGAGCCCCCATATCACCCCCATAGCACCCCATAGCGCCCCCATAGAGCCCCCATAGCACCCCCATAGCGCCCCCATAGCACCCCATAGAGCCCCCATAGCGCCCCATAGCGCCCCATGGCACCCCCATATCACCCCCATAGCACCCCATAGCACCCCCAGAGCCGCCATAGTGCCCCATAGACCCCCATCGCTCCCCATAGTGCCCCCATAGCACCCCCATAGCACCCCATAGCACCCCATAGCACCCCATAGCGCCCTCATAGAGCCCCCATAGCACCCCATATCACCCCCATAGAGCCCCCATAGCACCCCATAGCGCCCCCATAGAGCCCCATAGCGCCCCATAGCGCCCCATAGCACCCCCATAGAGCCCCCATAGCGCCCCATAGCGCCCCATGGCGCCCCATAGGCGCCTGTGTGAGCAGCAGTACGGCCACGCCCCCCGCGTGCGCATCAACGGTCACGTGGCCGCCCGCTTCCCCCACATCCCCCTGCCCCTCGACTACGTCCTGCCCGAGCTGCTCAAGAACGCCATGAGGTACATGGGGGGCTATGGGGCAGCTATGGGGCAGCTATGGGGCAGCTATGGGGTGCTATGGGGGGCTATGGGGTGGGCTATGGGGGGCTATGGGGGGCTATGGGGGGCTATGGGGTGCTATGGGGGGCTATGGGGGGCTATGGGGGGCTATGGGGCAGGCTATGGGGTGGGCTATGGGGGGCTATGGGGTGGGCTATGGGGTGCTATGGGGGGCTATGGGGCAGGCTATGGGGTGGGCTATGGGGGGCTATGGGGCAGCTATGGGGGGCTATGGGGCAGCTATGGGGCAGCTATGGGGTGGGCTATGGGGTGCTATGGGGTGGACTATGGGGGGCTATGGGGCAGCTATGGGGGGCTATGGGGGGCTATGGGGCAGCTATGGGGTGGGCTATGGGGGGCTATGGGGCAGCTATGGGGTGGGCTATGGGGTGCTATGGGGTGGACTATGGGGGGCTATTGGGTGCTATTGGGTGCTATGGAGTGCTATGGGGCAGCTATGGGGCGGCTATGGGGTGGGCAATGGGGTGCTATGGGGGGCGCTATGGGGCGGCTATGAGGTGGGCTATGGGGGGCTATGGGGGGCTATGGGGCAGCTATGGGGTGGGCTATGGGGTGCTATGGGGTGGGCTATGGGGGGCTATGGGGTGGGCTATGGGGTGTTATGGGGCGGGCTATGGGGGGCTATGGGGCAGCTATGGGGGGCTATGGGGCGGGCTATGGGGGTCTATGGGGGGCTATGGGCCGGGCTATGGGGGGCAATGGGGCAGCTATGGGGCGGGCTATGGAGGGCGCTATGGGGCGGCTATGGAACGGGCTATGGGGGGCTATGGGGCGGGCTATGGGGGGCTCTATGGGGCGGCTATGGGGAGCGATGGTGGGGGTATGGGGGCCGATGGGGGGGATATAGGGGGCTATGGGGCACAATGGGGTGGCTATGTGGGGCCTATGGGGGGATATAGGGGGGTTATGGGGCTCTATGGGGGGCTATGGGGTGGCTATGGGGCAGCTATGGGGCGGCTATGGGGTGCTATGGGAGTCTATGGGGGCGCTGTGTGGGGGCTATGGGGGCAGTATGGGTTGCTATGGGGTGCGATGGGGGGCGATACGGGGTGTCTATGGGGGTCTATGGGTCCATGGGTGTCTATGGGGTGTCTACAGGGGTCTATGGGTCCATGTGGCTCTATAGGCTGTCTATGGGTGTCTATGGGTCTCTATGGGTCCCATGGGTCTCTATGGGTCTCTATGGGTCCCATGGGTCTCTATGGGTCTCTATGGGTCTCTATGTGTCCCTATGGGTCTCTATGGGTCCCATGGGTCTCTATGGGTCTCTATGGGTCCCATGGGTCTCTATGGGTCTCTATGTGTCCCTATGGGTCTCTATGGGTCCCATGGGTCTCTATGGGTCCCTATGGGTCCCTATGTGTCTCTATGGGTCCCTATGGGTCCCTATGGGTCTCTATGGGTCTCTATGGCTCCCTATGGGTCCCTATGGGTCTCTATGGCTCCCTATGGGTCCCATGGGTCCCTATGGGTCCCATGGGTCTCTATGGGTCTCTATGGGTCCCATGGGTCCCTATGGGTCTCTATGGGTCCCATGGGTCTCTATGGGTCTCTATGGGTCCCTATGGGTCTCTATGGCTCCCTATGGGTCCCATGGGTCCCTATGGGTCTCTATGGCTCCCTATGGGTCCCATGGGTCTCTATGGGTCTCTATGGGTCCCATGGGTCTCTATGGGTCTCTATGGGTCTCTATGGCTCCCTATGGGTCCCTATGGGTCTCTATGGGTCTCTATGGGGCACAGGGCGACGATGGAGTTCCACCTGGACACCCCATACAACGTGCCCGACATCGTGGTCACCATCGCCAACAACGACATCGACGTCGTCATCCGGTATCTATGGGGCGGGGGGGGGCGCCCTATGGGGCAGAGGGGGGGGCCCTATAGGGCTATGGGGTGGGGGGGGTGTGCCCCACATCATCCCTATGGGTCATCCCTATGGGTCATGCCTATGGGTCATCCCTATGGGACCCCGCTATGGGTCCTCCCTATGGGTCCCCGCCATGGGTCTCCGCTATGGGTCCCCGCCATGGGTCCCTCCCCATGGGTCCCCCCTATGGCTCCTCCCTATGGGTCCCCGCCATGGGTCCTCCCTATGGGTCCCGCCGTGGGTCCCGCTATGGGTCCTGGATGTGGGTCCTACCGTGGGTCCCGCTATGGGTCCTGGATGTGGGTCCCGCTATGGGTCCCCCCATGGGTCCCCGCTATGGGTTCTCCCTATGGGTCCCGCTATGGGTCCCGCCGTGGGTCCCGCTATGGGTCCTGGATGTGGGTCCCGCTATGGGTCCCCCCATGGGTCCCCACTATGGGTTCTCCCTATGGGTCCCGCCGTGGGTCCCGCTATGGGTCCTGGATGTGGGTCCCGCTATGGGTCCCGCCGTGGGTCCCGCTATGGGTACCACTGTGGGTCCCACTATGGGTCCCCCCCATGGGTCCCCGCTATGGGTCCTCCCTATGGGTCCCGCCACGGTTCCCCCCATAGGTCCCCCCTATGGTTCTCCCTATGGGTCCCCCCATGGGTCCCGCTGTGGATCCCCGCTATGGGTCCCGCCATGGGTCCCGCTATGGGTCCCGCCGTGGGTCCCGCTATGGGTCCCGCTATGGGTCCTGGATGTGGGGCACCGTTTCAGGGTCCCGCTATGGGTCCTGCTGTGGATCCCCGCTATGGGTCCCGCCGTGGATCCCGCCATGGGTCCCGCTGTGGGTCCCGCTATGGGTCCCGCTATGGGTCCTGGATGTGGGTCCCGCTATGGGTCCTGGATGTGGGGCGCCATTGCAGGGTCCCACTATGGGTCCCGCTGTGGATCCCCGCTATGGGTCCCGCTATGGGTCCTGGATGTGGGTCCCGCTATGGGTCCCCGCTATGGGTCCCGCTATGGGTCCCGCTATGGGTCCCGCCGTGGGTCCTGGATGTGGGTCCCGCCGTGGGTCCCGCTATGGGTCCTGGATGTGGGTCCCGCCGTGGGTCCCGCTATGGGTCCCGCTATGGGTCCTGGATGTGGGTCCCGCTATGGGTCCTGGATGTGGGTCCCGCTATGGGTCCCGCTATGGGTCCCGCTATGGGTCCTGGATGTGGGTCCCGCTATGGGTCCCGCTATGGGTCCCGCTATGGGTCCCGCTATGGGTCCCCGCTATGGGTCCCGCTATGGGTCCCGCTATGGGTCCCGCTATGGGTCCCGCTATGGGTCCTGGATGTGGGTCCCGCTATGGGTCCCGCTATGGGTCCCGCTATGGGTCCCCGCTATGGGTCCCGCTATGGGTCCCGCTGTGGGTCCCGCCGTGGGTCCCGCTATGGGTCCTGGATGTGGGTCCCGCTATGGGTCCCGCTATGGGTCCTGGATGTGGGGCGCCGTTGCAGGGTGTCGGACCGCGGCGGGGGCATCCCCCACGAGCTCCTGGACAAGGTCACCCAATACCACTTCAGCACGGCCGAGGCCAGCGCCCAGGACCCACGCTTGGGGGGCGGCCCCTTCCGCGGCCTCATGGAGCCCCCTGCCGGGCCCATGCACGGGTACGCGCCCCACTGAGACCCACCGAGACCCATTGAGGACCCATTGAGGACCCATTGACTTCCATTGACTTCCATTGACTTCCATTGACTTCCATTGACTTCCATTGACTTCCATTGAGCCCCATTGACGTCCATGGACCCCCATTGATCCCCATTGATCCCCATTGACCCCCATTGACTCCCATTGACCCCATTGACCCCATTGACCCCCATTAACCCCATTGACTCCCATTGACCCCCATTGACCTGTATTGACCCCCATTGACTCCCATTGACCCCCATTGACCTCCTTTGCCCCCCATTGACGTCATTGACCCCCACTGACCTCCATTGACCCCCATTGACCTCCATTGACCCCCGTTGATTCCATTGACTCCCGTTGCCCCCCATTGACTCCCATTGAGTTCATTGACTTCCATTGACCTCCATTGACCCCCATTGACCCCCATTGACTCCCATTGACCCCCATCGATGCCATTGACCCCCATTGACTCCCATTGACCCCCATTGACCCTCATTGACTCCCATTGACCCTCATTGACTCCCATTGAGTTCATTGACTTCCATTGACCTCCATTGACCCCCATTGACTCCCATTGACCTCCATTGATGCCATTGACCATTGACTCCCATTGACTCCCATTGACCCCCATTGACCCCCATTGACTCCCATTGACCCCCATTGACCCCCATTGACTCCCATTGACTCCCATTGACCCCCATTGACTCCCATTGACCCCCATTGACCCCCATTGACCCCCATTGACCCCCATTGACTCCCATTGACCCTCATTGACTCCCATTGACCCCCATTGACTCCCATTGAGTTCATTGACTTCCATTGACCCCCATTGACCCCCATTGACCCCCATTGACTCCCATTGACCCCCATTGACCCCCATTGACCCCCATTGACTCCCATTGACCCCCATTGACCCCCATTGACCCCCATTGACTCCCATTGACTCCCATTGACCCCCATTGACCCCCATTGACTCCCATTGCCTCCCATTGACTCCCATTGACCCCCATTGACTCCCATTGACTCCCATTGACCCCCATTGACCCCCATTGACCCCCATTGACCCCCATTGACCCCCATTGACTCCCATTGACCCCCATTGACCCTCATTGACTCCCACTGACCCCCATTGACTCCCATTGAGTCCATTGACCTCCATCGCCCCCCCATCGCCCCCCACTGCTCCCCACAGGTTCGGCTTCGGGCTCCCCACATCCCGCGCCTACGCCGAGTACCTGGGGGGGTCGCTGGCGCTGCAGTCGCTGCAGGGGGTGGGCACCGACGTCTTCCTGCGCCTGCGCCACATCGACGGCAAGGCCGAGAGCTTCCGCATCTGAGGGCGCCCCACGGCGGCCGGGGGGAGCAATGGGGCTGCCCCCCCCTCTATGGGGCTGGGGGCGGTGTTGGTGCTTGTGGGGGTGGGGGGGGGGAATGGTTCCTAGGGTCAATGTGGATGAGGGGGAGCAGCCCTATGGGGGGGGGAGTGGTTCTTGTGGGGGTCATTGGTCTCTATGGGGTGGGATTGGGCCCTATGGGGGTCTTTGGGCCCTATGGGGGGTATTGGTCTCTATGGGGTGGGATTGGGCCCTATGGGGGTCATTGGTCTCTATGGGGTGGGATTGGGCCCTATGGGGGTCATTGGTCTCTATGGGGTGGGATTGGGCCCTATGGGGGTCATTGGTCTCTATGGGGTGGGATTGGGCCCTATGGGGGTCATTGGTCTCTATGGGGTGGGATTGGGCCCTATGGGGGTCATTGGTCTCTATGGGGTGGGATTGGGCCCTATGGGGGTCATTGGTCTCTATGGGGTGGGATTGGGCCCTATGGGGGTCATTGGTCTCTATGGGGTGGGATTGGGCCCTATGGGGGTCATTGGTCTCTATGGGGTGGGATTGGGCCCTATGGGGGTCATTGGTCTCTATGGGGTGGGATTGGGCCTTATGGGGGTCATTGGTCTCTATGGGGGGGGGTATTGGTCCCTATGGGGGGATTGGTGCCTATGGGGGGTATGGGTCCCTATGGGGGGATTGGTGCCTATGGGGGGTATTGGGCCCTATGGGGGGGAATTGGTCTCTATGGGGGTCTTTGGACCCTATGGGGGGGATTGGTGCCTATGGGGTGGGATTGGTCCCTATGGGGGGTATTGGTCTCTATGGGGTGGGATTGGGCCCTATGGGGGGGATTGGTGCCTATGGGGGGTATTGGGCCCTATGGGGGGGTATTGGGCCCTATGGGGGGGATTGGTGCCTATGGGGTGGGATTGGTCCCTATGGGTGGGGTATTGGGCCCTATGGGGTGGGATTGGATCCTGTGGGGGTCATTGGTCTCTATGGGGTGGGATTGGTCCCTATGGGGGTCATTGGTCTATATGGGGTGGGATTGGGCCCAATGGGGTGGGATTGGATCCTATGGGGGTCATTGGTCTCTATGGGGTGGGATTGGTCCCTATGGGGGTCATTGGTCTCTATGGGGTGGGATTGGGCCCTATGGGGTGGGATTGGATCCTATGGGGGTCATTGGTCTCTATGGGGTGGGATTGGTCCCTATGGGGGTCATTGGTCTCTATGGGGTGGGATTGGTCCCTATGGGGGTCATTGGTCTCTATGGGGTGGGATTGGGCCCTATGGGGTGGGATTGGATCCTATGGGGGTCATTGGTCTCTATGGGGTGGGATTGGTCCCTATGGGGGTCATTGGTCTCTATGGGGTGGGATTGGTCCCTATGGGGGTCATTGGTCCCTATGGGGTGGGATTGGTCTCTATGGGGTGTATTGGTCCCTATTGGTCCCTATGGCCATGAAGAGCATCCCTATTGGTCCCTGTGATCATGAAGAGCATCCCTATTGGTCCCTGTGATCATGAAGAGCATCCCCATTGGTCCATGTGGCCATGAAGAGCATCCCCATTGGTCTATGTGGCCATGAAGAGCATCCCCATTGGTCTATGTGGCCATGAAGAGCATCCCTATTGGTCCATGTGGCCATGAAGAGCATCCCTATTGGTCCCTATGGGGACCAACCCCATGGCCCACCCCCGCCCCGCTTCCTGATTGGTCCCTCAGGGCCCCGCCCTCATTAAAGCTGCAGCCAATGGCGTGAGAGGAGCGGCTTTATTGGGGCCTCCTGGCTTCCCCATTGGCCCCATGGGGGTCCCCATTGGCCCCATAGGAGCCCCTGGTCCTCCCAGACACCAGGGGGCGCCCCCCACTCTGGGCCAGTGGGGGGGCTATGGGGTCTCTATGGGTCTCTATGAGTCCCTATGGGGTCTCTATGGGTCTCTGTGGGGTCTCTGTGGGTCTCTATGGGTCCCTATGGGGTCTCTATGGGTCTCTGTGGGGTCTCTGTGGGTCTCTATGGGTCCCTATGGGGTCTCTATGAGTCCCTATGGGGTCTCTATGGGTCCCTATGGGATCTCTATGGGGTCCCTATGGGGTTTCTATGGGGTCTCTATGAGTCCCTATGGGGTCTCTATGGGGTCTCTATGGGTCTCTATGGGGTCTCTATGGGGTCTCTATGGGTCTCTATGGGGTCTCTATGAGTCCCTATGGGGTCTCTATGGGTCTCTATGGGGTCTCTGTGGGGCTCTATGGGTCCCTATGTCTTATATCAAGCCCCATAAGTGACCCCTCAGCCCCATAGGGAACAGCAGGGAGGGCCCCCATGGGGGATGACTCAGCCCCATAGGGGATGGGGGGGGGACGCCTATAGAGGGGCCCCTAAGTGAGGCCCCAGCCCCATAGGGAATGGCACCTATAGGGCCCAGCGGTTGTGACGTCACAGGTGGGAGGAGCCTAAGGGGGCGGGGCTCTCGCTATAGGACCCTATGGGTTGGGTGGGCAAGGAAGGCCCTATAGGGGTCTATGGGGTCCCTATGGGTGTTATAGATGTCCTATAGGGATCTATAGGGTCCCTATGGGTGTTATAGATGTCCTATGGGGGATCTATAGGGTGTCTATGGGGTCCCTATGGGTGTTATAGATGTCCTATGGGGGATCTATAGGGTGTCTATAGGGTCCCTATGGGTGTTATAGATGTCCTATGGGGGATCTATAGGGTGTCTATAGGGTGCCTATGGGTGTTATAGATGTCCTATAGGGGTCTATAGGGTCCCTATGGGTGTTATAGATGTCCTATAGGGGATCTATAGGGTGTCTATGGGGTCCCTATGGGTGTTATAGATGTCCTATAGGGATCTATAGGGTGTCTATGGGGTCCCTATGGGTGTTATAGATGTCCTATGGGGGATCTATAGGGTGTCTATAGGGTCCCTATGGGTGTTATAGATGTCCTATGGGGGATCTATAGGGTGTCTATAGGGTGCCTATGGGTGTTACAGATGTCCTATGGGGGATCTATAGGGTGTCTATAGGGTGCCTATGGGTGTTATAGATGTCCTATGGGGGATCTATAGGGTGTCTATAGGGTCCCTATGGGTGTTATAGATGTCCTATGGGGGATCTATAGGGTGTCTATAGGGTGCCTATGGGTGTTATAGATGTCCTATAGGGGGCTATAGGGTCCCTATAGGTGTTACAGATGCCCTATAGGGGATCTGTCGGGGTCTATAGAGTGTCTATAGGCTGTCTATGGGGTGTCTATGCGGTATCTATGTAGTTCTATGGGGGTCTATAGGGGACTATGGGGTGTCTGTGGGTGTCTATAGGGTGTCTATGGGGTGTCTATGGGGTGTCTATGTAGGTCTATGGCGTCTATAGGGTGACTATGGGGTGTCTATGGGTGTCTATAGGGTGTCTATGGGGTGTCCATAGGGTGTCTATGGGTTGTCTGTGTAGTTCTATGGGGGTCTATAAGGTGTCTATGGGGTGTCTATGGGGTGTCTATAGGGTGTCTATAAAGCGCCTATGGGGTGTCTATGTAGGTCTATGGGGGTCTATAGGGTGTCTATGGGGGTCTATAGGGGTGCCTATAGGTGTCTATGGGGGTCTATGGGTGTCTATGGGGTGCCAATGGGGGTCTATAGGGGGCTATGGGTGTCTATAGGGTGTCTATAGGTGTCTATGGGGTGTCTATGTAGGTCTATGCGGGTCTATAGGGGTCTAGGGGTGTCTATGGGGTGTCTATGGGGTGTCTATGGGTGTCTGTGGGTGTCTATAGGGTGTCTATGGGGTGTCCATAGGGTGTCTATGGGGTGTCTGTGTAGTTCTATGGGGGTCTATAAGGTGTCTATGGGGTGTCTATAGGGTGTCTATAAAGCGCCTATGGGGGTCTATGTAGGTCTATGGGGGTCTATAGGGTGTCTATGGGGGTCTATAGGGGTGCCTATAGGTGTCTATGGGGGTCTATGGGTGTCTATGGGGTGCCAATGGGGGTCTATAGGGGGCTATGGGTGTCTATAGGGTGTCTATAGGTGTCTATGGGGTGTCTATGTAGGTCTATGCGGGTCTATAGGGGTCTAGGGGTGTCTATGGGGTGCCAATGGGGGTCTATAGGGGGCTATGGGTGTCTATAGGGTGTCTATAGGTGTCTATGGGGTGTCTATGTAGGTCTATGCGGGTCTATAGGGGTCTAGGGGTGTCTATGGGGTGCCAATGGGGGTCTATAGGGGGCTATGGGTGTCTATAGGGTGCCTATGGGGTGTCTATAGGTGTCTATGGGGTGTCTATGTAGGTCTATGCGGGTCTATAGGGGTCTAGGGGTGTCTATGGGGTGTCTATGGGGGTCTGTGGGTGTCTATAGGCTGTCTATGGGGTGTCTATGTAGGTCTATGGGGGTCTATAGGGTGACTGGGGTGTCTATGGGTGTCTATAGGGTGTCTATGGGGTGCCTATAGGGTGTCTATGGGGTGTCTATGTAGATCTATGGGGGTCTATAGGGTGTCTATGGGGTGTCTATGTAGGTCTATGGGGGTCTATAGGGGTGCCTATAGGTGTCTATGGAGGTCTATGCGTGTCTATGGGGTGCCTATGGGGGTCTATAGGGGGCTATGGGTGTCTATAGGGTGCCTATGGGGTGTCTATAGGTGTCTATGGGGGTCTCTGGGGTGTCTCTGGGGGTCTATGGGGATCTATGGGTGTCTATAGGGTGCCTATGGAGTGTCTGTAGGTGAGTGTCTATAGGGTTTCTATGGGGTGCCTATAGATGTCTATGGGGTGTCTATGGGGTGCCTATAGGGTGTCTATGGGGTGTCTATGTAGATCTATGGGGGTCTATAGGGTGTCTATGGGGTGTCTATGGGGGTCTATAGGGTGTCTATGGGGTGCCTATAGGGCGACTATGGGGTGTCTATGGGGGTCTATGGGGTGTCTATAGGGTGTCTATGTGGTGTCTATGTAGATCTATGGGGGTCTATAGGGTGTCTATGGGGTGTCTATAGGGGGACTATGGGGGTCTATAGGGCGTC